CAATGCCACCAAAGCCATCTACTGTCTGAGCACTGAGGCACCAACCCCTTGAGACTTAAGGATAAAGGAGAACTGATCAAGGAAAGGGGAGCCATCAATGCCTGTTAGAAAGAGCATTTTGAAGACCTCAATCAAGTCTCTTTTGTTGATGAGAGTGTTCTCAACTCCACCCCACACCACCCAGTCAGAGATGATCTCGGAATCCCTCCAACCCTTAATGACGTGAGAAAAGACATCAAGTAAATCAAGAATGACAAGGCATCTGGTGTTCATGAAATCCCCACCAGAAACTTCAAGCAGGGGTGATTGGAGCTGATATCACATTTGCATGCCCTCATTTTAAGGATTGGGAATGATAAGAAAATCCCAGATGACCTCAGGGGGATGTCATGACTGTGATAATCTTCAAGAAAGAAGACATGTCCAACTGTGGAAATCACAGGGAGATTGCCTTGCTGTCCACCAAATGAAAGATCATTGCCAGAACCCTCTTGAATCATCTCCTTCCACTTGCTGAAGAACTCCTGGAATCTCTGTGTGGGTTTAGGGTATCAAGAGGCACAACCAGCATGATCTTCACTGCTCACCAGCTGCAGAAAAATATCAGGGACAACATAATCCTCTCCACATGGCCTTCTTGGACCTCACAAAAAACTTCAACTCTGTCAACTGAGAAGCACTGTGAAGGATCCTTCTGAAGTACGGATGCCCACCAAAATTTGTTACCATTTTTTGCCTGCTCCATGTTGAGCAGTGGTCCTCAGTAATTAATTTATCGCAGGTCCCTTTGAGGTTAAGATGGGAGTTAAGTGAGGCTGCATCATTGTTCCAACACTCTTCCTGATATTTTTTACCACAATGCTACATTTGACCATAAACAAACTTCCAGTCAGAGTGGAACTAAACTACTGAATGGATAGTAGGCCTTTGCAAAACGGCTAGTATTTGTTTCGGATTCAGATTCAGCCAATTCGGGGGACAGTGATTCGAATCGGTAATTCAAATCACTGTCCTGATTCAATTCAGCTGAATCTGATTTAGAGATTTGGCAGCATGCAAATCTCTGAATATCTGAATCAGCCAGGCAAGGCTCATCCCTCACCCCTCTCCCAGCCCAGCAATGGCTTCCTCACCCACCCCAGCTCCCAGCACTTAGGGAAATAAAAGCCCCAGCTCAGCAGATACTGCCAGGCAGGGTGCAATCCCTGCTGCCCCTCACTGCCCCATGCTGAATGGGGCTTGTCCCCTCCTGCTGCTCCCCCAGCTCCCTCATGGGTGCCCCACATAGGTCAGCTCCAGCCCATTAAGAAAAAAAAAAAACCTGAAGAAACCCCGGGACTCACCGTTCCTGCCAGCAGGATGGTGAGCCCCGCTGCCCGCCGCTGCCCAACACCACGTGGGGGCTTTGCACAAGCCCCCAAAATCCCGAGGCTGCACCAGGTGCAGTGAGTCCTGGGGCTTTTCTTGGCTTTTTTTTCTTAAGGAGCCGAAGCCACAGCCGGTGGGGCAGCCATGGGGGGGACCAGGGGAGCAGGGGGGGTCAAGGGGGCTCATGCAGTGCCCCCCATGCAGCATGGGGCAGTGGGGGGCAGTGGAGATTGCCCCCCTGCCCAGCAGCACCCGGTGAGCACTGGGACTTTTTTTTAAGTACCAGGACCTGGGGTGGGCTGGGGGAGAAGGCGGGAGTCAGAGGGCTGAGGGAGCAGGGGGGTTGGAGGGGCTGGCAGGGGTCCTCCCATGGTCTCTTCCCCCAGCCCCCACTTCCCTGCCCCTAGTACTTACCAGCTCAGAGTGCCTGAACCAGGGACTGCCCGACTAATCGAAGCTCTCCAAATCTTTGCCAAAGATTTGAAGAGCTTTGAATCGATTTGGACCTTTAAATTGGTTCCCTGATTCAATTCGGATTCAGAGATTCAGCCACTGAATCGGGCCAAATCTCCTCTGAATTGAATCACCACCCAAAGCTTCGCACAGCCCTAATGGATAGTAAGCTGTTTAATCTCAGCTGACTTTGAACCAGAACCAAAACCAAAACCACCCCGACTTCAACTACCATGTTCCAGTACACTGATAATACTGTAGTGTGTGCTCACTCAGAAGCACACCTTCAAGCTATCATCAGCATCTTGGAGACAGTTGAATTTTTCCTGTACCCGAGAAGCCATCTCTCACAGAAGGCTGACATCAATGAAGAAATCC